GTATGTAAGATAATCGAGCGTATGATTCCGACCCGAATGACATGGTATATCGAAAACTCAAACTTATATCCAGAAGAAATGTCAGGGTTTCGCGCAGGACGTTCCACAACAGACAGTGTGATCGATCTCGTTAGTTCGTTTGAGCAAGGCATTGCCAATGGGGAAAAGACTCTCGCCATATTTTTAGACATTCAAAAGGCATTTGATTCCATCACACATGAAGCAATTCTGACTGCAATGGCTGAGCATGGATTCGGCGGGAAAATCTTTAACTGGGTGAAAGAGTATCTAACACAGCGAACTATATTCATGCAAACAATTGAAGGAAACACAAAAGACCATATCATAGAACGAGGGGTTCCACAAGGAGGCGTCCTAAGTCCTACGCTCTTTAATATCACACTAATGTCTTTGCGACGGAAACTTTCGAAGCAAATACATCTATCAATCTACGCAGACGACATATGTATCTGGTCAACACATTCAAATCGATTTGTCAGTCAAAGAAGACTTCAACAGGCTCTTGCCGACGTTAGCCGATTCCTACGAGAACGTGGCATGTGCTTATCTCCAGAGAAAACAGTGGCAATGGCTTTCACACGAATGTCTATAAAACGTTTCCCTCTGGTCTTGGCTGGGAATACCATCCCATAGGAGCCAACACACAAGTTTCTCGGTTATATGCTTGATAAAAACATAACTTGGACTCCGCATATAAAATACCTTAAGTCGAAGCTTGGTTCCGCGTGCAATGTACTTCGCTGTCTGACAGGGAAAACATGGGGCAAGTCATGCTCATCCATGTTGAAACTCCAGAACACCTTGATCAATTCCCTTCTCAGGTATAGCTTGCCTGTCCTACAAGACATCTCGATCACGAACACCAAAAGTCTGCAAGCGGAAATAAACAAATCCTTAAAAATTTGTCTTGGTGTGCCTGAGGGAACATCAGTTAATGGTACAACAGCAGAAGCAGGAACACTTCCCCTGGCAATCATGCGTACGCAAGAGACACTACGAGTGCATTTAAGACATAAATCAGGAAACAAAAGGCATTTTCTCGTAAATTTGAACCACAAAGACCAGCTTCGGGATACGGTAAAGCCATCGAAGCGCTGTGTTCAGACATACCAGTTTCGACTAAATATTATGCAACATCATCTTGTCCTGCCTGGACAATACCAATGCCAGAAATTCATATTAATGTACCAGGCCTCACCCAAAAAACAGTACAACCGCAAACCGTTAAGCTGCAACACACACTAAGCCATATTCACTACACGTATTTCGACTACATACACGTATACGCGGACGGATCTTCGTATACCGGCACATCATCCTCTGCAATAGTAATTCCTGTACTCAAGACAACTCGTAGTTACAAACTTTCCCATAGTGTTCCTTCAACAACTGCGGAATTGCACGGAATAAAGATGGCACTCCAGTTTATTATAACTCGCAAACGGACTCACAAAAATGGGTCATTCTGACTGATTCACGCGCTGCTCTGCAATCATTAAGGCATTCACCTGCCACTTCATCAAATCCACAGTTGTGTTTTGAAGTTTTTTACTTATGGAACTATCAAAAGAAATGGACATCATGTAGTGTTACAGTGGATACCAAGGCAACATAGGGGTAACTGGAAATGAGACCGCAGATGCTGCTGCTGCTAGAGGACATTATATGGATACTGCGGAGGTCGTCCCATTTACAAAAACTGACGCTCGATCCCATATTAGTTTGTTTGGAAAGGAGGAATTCAAGAAGCTCTGGATATCCTCAACATACCACTACAAGCCACTTTTTAAAATCGACCCGTGCCTCCGAAATATATCTCCACGAAATTTACCAAGAAACATAGAAACACTCTACCACCGCATCCGCTTGAACGTCGCCTACACGAATAAACAAAGATATAAGTATGGACAGATCTCAAGCCCGAATTGCCAGCAGTGTCTCGTGGAAGAAGATCTAAACCATATTTTTTCTAGTTGTCCCAAATATAATGAAGAGCGCTTGACACTATTGACCAGAATCCAACAACTTACCAGCGAACCATACAGTTTTGAGAAGGTCTTAGGTGCCTGGGAACAACAACCGCATCAACGAAGGGTGTTAGATGCTATAATAACATTTCTTCACATGACCAATTTGATTGACCGATTATAAATAATCTTGTAACACACCGACTTTAATCTTGTAACATGCCGACTGTAAATAATCTTGTAAGATATCGATTGTAAATAATCTTGTGACATAACAAAAATAAATACAAGAACGAAACGTGAGCTGACCTCGACAGAATATGAACACACATTCGTTCACCTTTTCAATGTACAGACTGTATAAGGAATCTGTTCATTATTTCTACGATTTATGCTAAGACTGAATGTGTTGAACATACATTGTGATAAGAACCTTCCTGTGCGGTGATGTATGAGTGTCCTCTCCTGTTACTGTACAAGTCTCGTGCTGTACCTTGATTGTTCTACACCGGAACTTTGACTTTTGTATAGCAACCCATAACATATGCCTTTCTAGTGCTATCTTTCTTCCTTTTCCCCTTCCCATGCTGAGTAGTCAGCCGGAATGCATTTTCTGGCTAACCTCTCTTGCATTTTCCCAAATTAATAAAAAAAAAAAAAACGGAGAAAAGAAAACGCCCAAACTGAAACCGAAACTAACTTAACCGGAACCGGAATCAGATTATGCTTAATGCCGCCCGCTAGGAGCGCTACCTGTCACTGGTCTTCCCCTGGCAAATGCCGAGCGCTCTGCGCTAGCGGTCGTCGAGCGGTCGGCCTCCGTGAGCGATCGGTGACGGACAAACACAAAGTCTCAAATTTTGAGACTTTGTGTTTGTCCGTCCTGTTGCGACCGAGGAGTTCCCCAGGCAGCCTCAGGCAGGGCCAGGCGAGGACAGGAACCGCAGGCCGACTCCAGGCAGGGACATCAGGAGACGGGAGGGTGTCTCGCGATAAACTCTGTTTATATTACATAAGTACAGCAGTTTCTTGTTCGTCGGAGAGCACACCTCGCGGCCTCTCGTTTGCTCTTTTTATACAGTCGCTGTTATGTTCCAGCGGTTGGCAGCCAATGATGGCCGAACTGCCAACGAACGTCACGTTCAGGCCCCGCCCCCACTCATCCTCCCGAGCGCGCACACACATACACGCACACACTGCAGCGTCGGACGGGCTTCCCGATCCGGCGCCGGGGCATTCTTGACCTCGATAAGCCGCGCCAGGAGTTGGTGACGAAGGGTCCGCCGTCAGCTCGTGAGACGCTGACCGTGATGGGGATGATCCCCTCATTATGCGGCGTCGTGGCTCGGGAAAGGTTTAGCGGGATAATCCGCAAGTGGCGCCGGACGAAAACTTGAGCCGAACGTACTCGGCCGGAAGTCCTACCGCCGGCGTCGTCCCCCGGAATCCTCCCCCGTTAGGGCAGCTGGTTCCTGGATGGACTGACCCCCGCAGCCAGAGAGAAGAGTCCGGCTCAGCTCCGCTCCCAGGTGTGGCGGCGTCCACGCGGCGCCGGGCGACGTGTTCTGTCAACAACGGCTCAGACGGCCGGTCGCCGATCCTAAATGCGAAGGCCAAACCCCGCCGGGTGGAAAAGAAGGGAAGGCGAAGGAAGGACGTGACCTTCGCCAAGGCCTATCGCAACAACACCTCCGCCGCCACTGAGCTCATCAGGAGGGCAGCAGTCCCACACTGCTGCGCTAACTCGATGAGTGCCTCGCTTTCTTGGGAGAGGGTCCGGTGATCATCTCCTGCCTTGAGACGTAGGCGAGGGTCGGGTCCAAATCTCTGGAGTGGGGGACCTCAACTCAGGTCACAAGAGGAAGGCGTGGGCGAGACAAACACAGCAAGTCACGATCCCAGTAGCGACAAGTGCTTCGCTTTCCTCCCCCGATCCGCCAGACCAAAAAAAAATAAAGGCAACCCCCTTCCACCTACTACCTAAAATCTCCCTCACTCGACACTCGAGCTCAGGCTGTCAATAAGCCCTTTAAAGTAAACCATACCCCAAACCAGGCAAACAGAAACAAAAGTTATGGTAGCGTGCTTTGCCATAAAAACACAATCACAAAATCAAGATGACCCTTTCCAAGGAATTGAAACACACAAAAAAACTTTACAAATTTGTACAATCCGATCATGGAGCTCGTTCACGTCTTAGAAGCCCCGGCTTAGATAATCAGCGTTCCTCTTTTAGCTGTGCCCCTTTTTACCTCGCCTCGAAGGCTTACTACCGTGAAGCGAAATAAACTTTAGAGCTTGCTAACACATCGCACTGCGGCTCAACAAAACGCGAAAACGGACTCCCGTGAAAAGAACACATTACGTACCGTTACGTAACTTACATAGGATATATACCTATTAAATTCAAGCGCCTCCTCCATAAGGCAAACTATACCGAGGATAAAACCGCTTTAAAAGAACTCTACCTCCGACACAACGAACTGAAGCCGAACAACACGCAAAACTCAGACTCCCGAAAAAAAAGAAAAGCTGTTCATACCACTTGCTAAGCCGACTTCAGGAAAAGACATTCAAATTAAGCCTTCCCCTTTTCTGGCGGCCTCTGCCTCGTCTGCTTTCACTGGCGAGAACTTGCGCTCTAACCTACAACCAGTTTGTTCTCGGTGCCACTCTCACCAGAAAAGCGCTGGTCCCCAGACTCGAAAGTTTCCTCAAAGTCACAGTCGGAAAGTTCTGACTTGATTTCCGCATCTGACTTAATCTCCCGCTGAAGAACAAGCTGCGAGGCGAGCACGTACTCATAGGACCCGAGGTACTTGGACGAGATTGAGGATTTGTCCAGCAAGGTTCCTGCATTCTGTTGATCATCTCTTCTCGTCGTGGAAGCAGGAGACAAATGTGACGGCTTGACTCTCGGCTTCCTTACGCTGCGTGACTCTTCGCAGCCCTCGTTCTTCTCGTCCGAGCGGCTCTGTCTCGTCATTTCCGCATCTAGTCTAGATTTGCTGATGTCGCCTCCAGGCCCGTTGCTCGCACTTCTGGTCTGGATCGATGGCTCCTTGTGATAGGTGTTCTGGCGTTTGCTTTCTTCCGGCCTCGAAGAAAACTTTCTGGAGTTGCGCGCACTGAGCGCCGCTGCTTCGAACCTTTTTGCTTTTTCAGCTTTGGCTTCCTAGCGTCACCGCTGTGCTCCTTGCTCCTCCAGCCGCTGTCGGTTGGTGCTTTCTTGGGGTGGATATCTTCACGATTTCCGTCTCCCAGCCCAGACGACGGCTTTCTCTTTCTGGAGTTGCTCCTCTTCAGCTTCTGGTGACGTTGTTGATTGGATGGGGCCGGGCCGGATTGGAAGGCACCGACCCTGCGCAGCCTTCTCTTCTTGTGTCTTTTTTGAGTGAACGGCCCGCTCATGTCGGCGCCTGAATTGTCGCCATCAGACTTGCCGTGCCATAATCGGGATGACCTCTCGGACCGCCTGCGCTTCGGATCCTCTCGCTTGCCCAGACTTAACTCTTCCTTGTCGCAGCCAAGCCCCTTGCTTTCGCAGCCGCTGTCCGTAAATACTTCCTTGGGATGAATATCCGCAGGATTTCTGTGTCCCAGTCTCGACGACAGCTCCCTTCTGCGAGACTCGCCTTCGCCAGATTTCCAAAACTGCCCTTCATCAGAAATGTCCGCACCAGGACGGAGAACGCTGATCTCGGGCTGCCTCTTCCTCCTATGTCTTTTCCGTCTGGACGGACACCCGATGTCGTTCTGCGATGGAGACGAGGTTTTCGAGGGACCCTGCTCCGGATTTTCCTCATCCAGCCTGGTTTTCTCCGCGCTCCCCTTGGATCCCTTTCTCTTGCAGCCGCCGCCGGCTGATGGATCCTTGGGATGGGTGCCTCCGCGCTTCCCCTTTCCGGCCTGGACGACTTCTGCTTCTGGCTCGACTCGTCGCGCCTCTGTTGACGTTGCTGATCAGAATCGTTCGGAGCAGGACGGAAAACACTGACCCTGCGCTGCTTCCTCTTCTGTTCCTTCTTTCCAGAAGGACGGCTCGAACAGGACGCTTTTTCTGAGCACCCCTGACTCTGGTCTCGCTCATCCAGCCCCGGCTTGGTCTCGGAGTTCCACGGGGGACGGCCAGGACGACCCACTTCCTGCTCCGCCTCCCCATCCGCTGACTTCTCCACGTTGCTTTCCTCGAGTTGGATAGACTTCCGCGGCGGCATCACCATGCTGGCCTTGTCTTCGTCCCCCAGGAAGCAGACGTCAGATGCTTGAGAGGCCTCTTCTCTTCCTTTGGCGGGATCCCCTCCAACTTCCAGCGCTTCAGGTCTGGAGTCGGCGTTGTGCGGAACGGCGTCCGTAGTCCCGTCGGCACGAAGACCCTGGTCGTCGGTTAAATTGAACTCTTCATCTTCAAGGGAGAAAGACGAAGACTCACGGCGGAGTGGACGCATTCCGCATGAGCTCCGCAGTATTTCAACTATTTGTGAGGAAAATCGGATTCCAGCCAGACTTCAACGCTACCAGCCGACTCAGCTCATTGTAGTGTATGCCTGGAAACATTTCTGTGACCAACTTCTCAAGATTACTCCCAACGTCGGGCTCGTCCGCCGCCGACGGGGGCCGCGTCGCGGACTCCCCTAGCCCAAACTCAAACGACGAAGAGGATATCGCGATGAACCACGATTCCAACGAAGGTGAATACTCAGAGCTCTCCTCAGAACATGACTCAACTTGGATCGATGTTGTCACCAAGGCACAGAAGCGACGCCAGCGCAAGCTCAACGATGAGGTAGGCCCAGCCGCCGTGCCCAAACCTCCAACTCCCCTGCCAGTACGCAAAGCCGCCCCCAGGCCCAATCCACTTCCCCGCGATGATTTTAAATTAGTTCTGCGCCCACAAGACGGCCTCAAGCTTGCAAATCTGGACATAGCCGAGGTTTCCCTGGCTCTGTTGAATTCGATCAACTTCACGTGGCGCCAAGCCAATCTTAGGGTTCGCGTGGATGCCACGCAAAATACGGCCACAATCAGCACACCCTCTTCAGATGCAGCCAAGGCCCTAGGAAACTTGAAACAACTCAAGATCGGCAACACCATTCATATGGTCACCCTGTATGGCCTGGCGCCCGATGTCTCATCCAAGGGACTCGTTCGGGGAGTGCCGCTGCGCTTCTCCGACGCCGAAATCCTCGCGAATTCCGACCAAAGCCAGTTCGAAATCTACACCTGCCGCAGACTGGGCCAATCCAAGATGGTAATACTCACCTTTGCGGGGCTAAAGGTACCCTTCTTCGTGACATTATTCGGCGGGGAGTACCCTGTCTCGCTGTACAAAAAGACAATTCCCGCGTGCACCGTATGCCACGAAGCCGGACATCGATCCACGGCATGTCCACAACCAAAAGTCAATGTGTGCCACCAGTGCGGCCTCAGAGACCCTCACGAGGGCCACACATGCGAACCTCTGTGCACCCTCTGCGACGGACTTCACCTCACGGCAGCTCGGGGCTGTCCCAAGCGGTTTTCTGAGCCCTACGTTCTCCGACGGAGAGCGCTCGCGAGGCAGACGAGAGAGCGAGCCGTGCGGAGGGACCCGACACCGCAACGCGGGCGGCCCAGAGACTGCTCCAGGACCCCGACTCGAAGGCGGCGTAACAGCTCGGGCCCAAGGTCCCAGTCTACCTCCCGGAGCAGGGAACCCCGGCCCCGCGAGAGCAACAACAAGCAAGTCAGCTGGACACAAATTGTGTCTCCCACTGCTCCCAGTACTCCTAAACCCCCAGCACCAGTCCAACCCACACCCTCACCCATACCCGTACCGTGTCCGGAATGCACACAACTCAAAGCACAAATAGCAGTACTCCAAGCTAGACTAGAAACAATAGAGAAAGCCCAGATGAGGAACACTACAGACAAACGCAAGAAACCAAACCGCCCAGAGAGGGAGTAAACACAAATGGATGTGGTTCCACCACCACCATCCCCAAATAACGACGCACAAAAAACAACACCCCAGGCTCCCGCGACGAGCGAGGTCCATACGCCAGATGCCTCACAAGTCGCTCAACCCCAGTGGTTTCAGGCAACCATAAGATCCATATTGGAGCCGCTTACCACACGCCTGGATGCACAATACAATGCCCTACGACAAGATATACAAACAGTACACCAAGATGTGCAGCCCCTAAAGCAAGATATGCGTGACCTAAAACAAGATGTACAGTCTCTTAAGCAAGAAATAGAGCGCCACACCATCCGCATCGAACGCCTTGAAACAGTAAACTCACGCAGTGGCCGTAGACCCACCCCGTACGAACGAGAATCCCTGGTGGAAAGCAAGGACCTAACCAAGCAATATGACGACTCGCCCAAACAATAACACGAACGGTACGGTGGCTCTCCAGTGGAACTGCCGAGGTATAAAAGACAAGCAGGGAGCACTCCAGCAATACGTCTCCTCCCTAGACCCTCAGCCAGAAATAGTTGCCTTACAAGAAACAAATAGAAGCCCTCATCTTCCAGGATACATCACCTATGCTGACCCAACCGAAAAATCCACAGCCATTCTCATAAAAGGTTGCATTGCGGCAATGCAACATCTCACGACGCAGAAGTACTGCGAGCACACGCTCGTAGAAATTATCTCGAAGTCAACGAAGAAAAAATCTAATCTGTTCATACTCAATATGTATTGCCGGCCATCGCGGAAGCAACCAGGAATACGAGAAGTTATTCGGGAAGCCCTATTAATAGCAAAGGACTCACCCCTTTTAATCGTGGGGGACTTTAACGCCCCACACCGACTATGGGGATACACTCACAACTCCAAAAAAGGAAAAGCAATAGTCGAATCCATCGAACAGGACCATCTAACCCTGCTCAATGACCCCCAAACGCCTACCCGAACGGGCACCAGCGTATCCAGAGACACGAGCCCCGACCTTACTTTATTGGCAGGAACTCTGGACATTACCTGGACTAATACACAGGATAACCTAGGATCGGACCATGACATAATCCATATTTTAATTAAGGACAAAAGCTACAAGGCCCACATCGGTTCAGCCCGCATAACCAACTGGGATAATTTCCGCAAGGACAGAAACTCGCAAGACCTCGATCAAAATCTCTCCTACGAAGAACTGATCCAAGAGGCCTTAAAAGATTCCGAAACGCACACTCAGACTATTGCCACCTCATACAGAACACCGTATGTAGATCCTAAACTACTTCATCTTTGGGAAGCACGACGCAGCCTCACAAGAAGATGGAAACGGCAAAGACACAACAGAAAGCTCAAGAAGCGCATAGCTCTCATAAACCAACAGGCTGCTGAATACGCAGCTGCGCTATGCAAGGAGAATTGGCTACAAGAATGCGACGGCCTACAAGGCACCCTGACCACAAAGAAAACATGGCATCTGCTTCGGCACTTAATCGACCCCCTGAAAAGTAGAGGAGAGTCTAACAGAAACATGACGCGCACACTCAATGCCTACACGGGTAGCAGCGAAGAACTCCTGAAGGACCTGGCAAGGAAGTACCTCCCGACGGGGGGAGTCTATTCCTCCCCTTCGTATGACGGATCGCCCAATCAAGAACTAGACAAAGATATCCAACTGTACGAGCTACGAGACGCAATAGCGGATAGTAGGCGGAACAGTGCCCCGGGTCCAGACAAAATCACTAATAAGCTCCTTTTCAACTTAGACGACCGCACCACGGATACCCTGCTCAGCCACTTTAACAGCTTCTGGACGACAGGAAAAATCCCGGACCAATGGAAGATGGCGAAGGTACACTTCATCCCAAAGCCCGGCAAATCGCCACATATTGAGAACCTAAGACCAATCTCTCTTACATCCTGTATTGGCAAAATCATGGAGAGAATCATACTGAAGAGACTTCAGAACCACCTCGATGCAACGCAACAAATGCCGGACACGATGTTTGGATTCAGGAAACACCTCGGTACCCAGGACGTGCTTATTCAACTTAAAGAGGACATCCTTGTCCCAGCCACACGTAACTCCCCGAGAGCCATCCTCGCTCTAGATCTGAAGGGAGCGTTCGACAACGTAGCACACGAGGCGATCCTCCGAAACTTAGTCAAGACAGGCTGCGGGGAAAGGACATATAACTACATAAGTGACTTTCTCTCTAACCGCACAGCCATACTTAAGATCGGGGACATTACCTCCAAAGCACCCATCAACTTGGGATGCAAAGGGACTCCCCACGGTTCGGTCCTGTCCCCCCTGTTATTCAACATCGCGCTCCTGAGCCTCCCTGAGCAGTTGGGACGAATACCGAACTTAAACCATGCCCTCTACGCGGACGATGTCACCCTTTGGACGAGCACCGACTCCCTCGGAGGCTTGCAGGACACGCTCCAGCTCGCCGCCGAGACGGTGAATCAATACGCAAAAAGCTGCGGACTGTCCTGCTCGCCACAGAAATCCGAGCTTCTCGTGGTGAGGAGACGGCGAACCAAGGAGGACGACGACAACATCCACGTCACTCTCGAAGGGCACGACATCAAGCCAAGCAAGTCCCTCAGGATCTTGGGCTTGCTAATTCAAGCGGACGGCAAGAACGACGCAATGGTGCAACAGCTCAGTAAAACCTCTGAGCAAGTCATGCATATGATACGCAGAGTCACGAACCGACACAGAGGCATGAGAGAGAGCGATACGGTCAGGTTAGTTCAAGCCTTCGTCCTCTCGCGCATAACTTACGCTGCTCCCTACGTCACCCTGAGTAAAGCGGAACAAGACAAGCTCGACGTGCTCATACGCAAGACGCTGAAACAGGCAATCGGATTACCCGTGAACGCATCTACGGACAAGCTACTTCGTATGGGGCTACATAACACCGTGGGGGAACTCATTGAGGGCCACTTGTCAAGTCAAAGGACACGACTCGCTCACACTCAAACCGGCCGCAACTTGCTGATTAAACTCAAGCAGGTTCCACGGGACCAGACCCTGCCGCTGGCACTCCCGGAATCGTGGCGCCAACACATCTTTGTTTACCGAATCCCTCGAAACATGCACCCGAACCACCATCAGGGCCGCAGAGCAGCAAGAGCAAGAGCACTAAATGAGACATACTCCAGAATACCCACGACGACGTATACCGACGCAGCCAACTACAACGGCAAACGAGCCATGGTGGCGGTGGTGACAGACGGGCAGAAGTACCTGACCAGTGCCTCCGTCCCACGGGGAACGGCTAAAGAAACAGAAGAGCTTGCTATCGCCCTCGCCCTCACACAAACGAAAACCTCCACAATAATCACGGATTCGCAAGAGGCATGCCGTAGCTTCCAGTCGGGCTGGGTGGCACCTGTCACGCTACGTATCCTAGAAAACAAGGCACCGGACAGGCAGGTCGACATTGTGTGGACCCCAGCCCACTCCTCCATGAGAGGCAACGAACACGCCCATCTCACGGCCCGAGACCTCGCCCACCAGGCCACGGAGGAGACACTGGAACCCACACCCCTCACGACCTATCAAGAAATTACACAACATTACAGGCTCAACAGAAGAACATTACCCGCACCACACCCTTCCCTCACGAGAAGTCAGGAAACCACACTCAGATTACTACAGACTAACACATTTCCCCATCCAATTAGGATGCACCTGCTATTCCCCACACAATTCGATGCCCAATGTCAATTCTGCAACCAACCCGGCACCCTGAGACACATCATATGGGAGTGCGACAATAACCCAGACATGTCACCCCCTTTTCCTTCCCCTACCCCCGAGCAGTGGGAGACACTGCTGTCCAGCTCCCTCCCTCAAGATCAGCTCTTGCTAGTGGAGAGGGCCGATCGAGCCAGGACGGCACATGGGTACCTGAATTGAGGATCCACCCCACAGCGTAAAACGATTAATAAATATGTTTTGTCCTCCTCCTCTTCAACCTTTTCTTTCTGACCCACCGTCTCTGCCGCTACCTGCCGCGTTCTAGCTCCGCTTAGTGCAACCGCTCTTTCCCTCCTGGACACAAGGTCTTTTTCTCGTGGCTTCGGATCACCCTGGTACGTGAACCAGTGAGGAAATGTCGCTGCTAGGTACTTCGAGTCTGTGACCTCTACTAC